TTTGCTATAGTTTTGATTATTTTATTATACTTTAAGCGATAATGATTCAGTAATAAAGAGTAATTTTAAATTACATTATTATACCAGAAAAATATTTTCGCCTTCAAGTATTACAATATAATTTTCATAATTTTCAGTAAGAGTAAAGTACGATTCATTTTTATCAAACATATCAGTATAAATTCTATCAATAATAGTAGTATCGATAGCTCGTATGTTTTCAGTAATAGACCTTATTCTTTTAATCTGAAAATAACCAAAATGAGTATTAATATCCAAGATATTCATGACAGGTACTGTCTTACATAGAGTATATTCCAGTTCATTCAATATATCCAAAAAAAAGAATCAATTTGAATATAATTGATATTTGAATATAATATAATCGTTATCCACTGTCTTAGCAAATGAATTATTTGATCAAAGTCGAACCTTGTTACAAGACAAGTAGGTGCACTCAATTTTAATTAATTTATAATAACCAATTGCAAAATCATACAAATGTTAATGAGCCATCCATAACAACGCGAAGGTACACCAAAATATCTTCCAATATCAATTTTTAAGACTGTCGCCCACTCTTTTGTTACTAAGTATCGAATGTAGGGCAAAAAACGAGAATCCAGACAATTTCTTAAAAAGAATTTGTTTAAAATCAATTGGCTCTTTCACATTGCAATAATTCTACAAAGTTGATATAGAACACTTTTGCAGCATATATCTTTTCTACAATAATTCCATTGCCATGTTCAAATACGTATCCAGAATGATGATACAAAGAATCTCAATTGATAACATCATGAACGACGTGAAGCAACTGATGAATATTATATGTCATTGCACTTCTCGAATAATAAATTTTTGAAAGTGTTACAAATATTGTTAGTATACGATGTGTTTCACGTAGCTCATCTCTAGTGATATTTTCTTGCAACAAAATGAGGCAAGCTCGTACTAAATGGGACGAATATATGGCATAGCATGGCATACGAGAAATCATTATAAGAGCTATTATATTGTAATAGAGGATCCAGTTTTGATATTCCTTAGGTTTGTAACGGAGAATCTTGGCTAGGCCGATTTCGTCAGTTTAGCTCTCGTCAATGTTCGTGCGCCGCGCCAAGCTGAGAGTGTGTGCGTGTGGTACGCACACTCATGCTTGGATTTTGTTTTCGAGGTGCTGTGTACGAGCTGAGCTGATGGCTGGAGCGATCGTAATGGCGCTGAAGAGGAAGAGAGAGAGCGCTCTAGTTGCGGATCACCGCAAAAATTTGAGAGAGTATCTGCTGGGCTTCAGCATAGCAAGTCACGCGCGCGGATTTAACCTAAGTTAACGGTTTTCCGGAGTTGGCCTCGCGACCTCGTCAACGTTCGTTTTCGGAGACACGCCCGGTGCGTGGATGAGAATTAGAGTGTTGTGGCCGTCTTGCGCCCAACCGTGTCCCGAAGGATACCCGGCACCGATACGTGAGGGTAACCAACGAGGTGCGCGGGTGCGCGGACTTCGTCGCTGCTGCAGACAACGAGCGATAGAAAGGCAGGGGGAACAACGGCAACCGCAGCTGAAGCAACAACAACAACAACAACGAGTATAACAATAGGTTGAGGCAGTAATCTTGTTAAAGCGAACGAGAGGATTAGTGACAGGACAAACAGTGACGACAATGACACCGGCGAGACGGTCAGCGAGAAGGAGTGCACCAGTAACGTCAGACTGCGAAGCGTTCTAGCCGTCAGAGAGGCTGAAGGTCGAGGTCGATGTTGTGTTCTCTCTTGTCTCTCTCTTTTGCATGTTTGGACGCCAGCTGATGAGTGGCTAGTGTGGCAGATCTTCCGGCTACCCCATTGACGAAATATCGGCGGAAATTGTTTATTGGGCATTCATTGTAATAATTAGCTTTAAAAAGGGAATCGGCAGGCTGACTAGCCACCGATTCACCTTCGCGCTCTCGTTTGTTATTGTGCCGCTCGTAATATTGTATATTGGAGTGAGATCACCGTATTGTAGTCGATTGTTGACAAGTAAAGGATTAGTGTGTTAATCCGGTATTGTGTTTATTCGCCGCTGTGTCACTCCTCATCCCGACTTCGAATCCGTGCGTTTAACGTGGTTTTGCTCGACGCATTATTCAGTCCGGGGAACGTCTTTTGCTTTCCGAATCCCTAAATAAATAATTTGTCCAGACGGCCGCGAGGTACCCAGACAGGAACGGCTAATATCTCCGTTACAGGTTTCAAAAATTTACCGTCTCGTTTGGATCTTGAATTTCGAAACAGTTTATTAGGGACTTTTAAAGTTTTAATACAGTTATTAATAAAGTTTATTTCCACGTTAATTAATTAGAAAGGCATATTTTTTTCATCGCATCATATTTTAGAAAGTTTTTTCCTATAATTAAGTCTATGAAGTGCATAAAATCGGGAACAAATCCTGATTCGTTATTAACACCAAATATTGTTTTTTCGGACGCGACAGCGTCTTGCATATGCCGCCTAGTGTCTAATTCATTTCTCTCGGCTATTTGATAATCTATTATGATATATTTAATCCAACTGCCTTTACTTACCGCAACAAAATACCATGGGTAAAGGTACCAACTATATCCGTAGTAGTAAGTGAACTACGTCAGCCCCTGCATTGGAGCGTGAGCAACTCAATTAACACATGAACATATCGCATATACATAAAGAATGTGTATTGCTCCTCTTATGTTGCATCTTATTCCATCATCAGAAAATGCATTATTTTACATGATAAATGGTTTGAAAAATACATTCGTATCAATTTTGCTGTTTCCAAAATGTAGACCACATACAATCGGTTTAGAAGTTTTCACTTTGAAAGGTATTTTAGTAATTATTAATTGAATTAGTATAACTGAAAAAGATAAACTTTCAAATGTCGGTGAAGCATCACTATTGTGACGTCGTGGCAACGACACATCTCAGGTGCACCTGAGGCTTGGCGTAGTCTCAGGGTTCTGTTGTTGCTAGTCTGCGATTTCTCGCATAAACTAGCAAGATTACTATTAGAAAATTAATAATACCAAAGGGGACAGTGCCACTAAACCTGTACTTTTGCTCTTGGATTCCAATCAATAGTTGTAATCCGAGAGCGTGAAGTACCCTGGGTCCTATCAATAGTAGAACCCGATTTTCCTAATATAAATTGTATTTGGAGCCTATCAAAAGTAGTCTCCAAATACGATAAAGGGAAAATTTTTGGATTGTGAGCTACTTCTAAAAGAAAGGAGAGATAGATAAATTACTAATAAAAATTGTTTGTTTGCTTACTCTTTTATTTTATTGAATAATTCACACTTTTCGGCCTAAGCGTCCTTTTTTTATATTAACTGCTTTTTCTTGTCTTTCTTGTTCCGCTGCTTGGTTGTTTGGCTACTTGGCTGCTTGGCTCTTTGACTGACTTCTTGACTGAGTTTTGTTGAGTTCTTGACTGACTTCTTTGCTAACTTCTTGGCTGACTTCTTGACGCTACTGATTCCTGTACTTCCTTCAATCTCTGCTTTGCACGGTCACTACAACCACTGAAAACAACTGCAACTAATGCAACTCTTGCAACTCCAACTACTTTTGGGCCCTTTTTATATTAGGCGGGTGGTTGGGCGATGAGTCACTCACAGCCTCTCGGTTTTGGGAGGAGTGGGGCAGGACATGATGTGTTAATTGGTCCGTTTGTTTCTTCTGATTTTCCTCGCTGGATTTTCGAGCCCTGATTGGAGCGGGGGCGTGGAGAAAATCGGGGGCGCGGACGCAAGGGTACAGGCCTTAGCTCGTAAGATAGCTCTTCAAGTATCATTCACAGCCAAGATTAGTTTAAAATTTCGTAATTATTAATTAGTTAAAGTTGGAACAAACATAATCGACCATTATATAGCTTCTACAATATTATAATTAAATTCACCGCAAAATATAGTTATCAATAATTATCTAATAATTAAATATAATAAAAATAGAGCGATGCTTGTTATTTTGCACGCTACGTTGTATAAATTTGTAAATTAATTTCTTATAATAAAAGTTCGCTAAGTAACAATGAATTCATTAAAATTAACGTATATTTTTAATTCTTTTCTATTTTCTGCTTAAACTAAGCTCCGAAGCGAAAACTTGATAAGAGGTTTTGAGAGGCCAAAATTATTTTTGATATATTGTTGAAGTCAAAATATTCAAGTTCAAAAAATATTATTTCATAATTTTTAATGCCTAATTTCTAGTTGGAAAGGGTAAAAGTCATTAGTTAAGATGTGAATAGGATGCAGACGCGATCCCATGGCCCTCTTCTTTCATCGCCATCTTAGCGCTCACGTGTTCGGAGGCTGCATGCAGTTCATATGTAAGTGCGAAGGTACGAGGAGCAGAAGAGCGTAATGAAAAAAGGAATGCACGCTTACATAAATTTAGACTATAGATTCTATTGCCGTTTGGAGACTATCAAGAAAAATTTCCCTGCGACACTCAACTCGGTTCCCACAGCTCATGGGAAACGGTTTCAACTCTGCCGTTGGTCTTAATATTAGAAAAATTATTCTTTTGAAATTTAAAATTTTGATCATATATGCCCCGCCGTCACACCCTCACACTTAAACGATTGCTAGAGGAGTGCAACGAGGAAGAGCAATCGAACTTTTAATTCTAATTATAAGGATCTTGTCGTATCATGCCGTAATCAAGGTTTTATCATTACTAGAAGTCTAAATGCGCGCTTTGCGCGCAGTTATATCGAAATGTTCCAATATAAATTGTTATATTAAAAAACTGTAATTACATTTTATTAATGAAGTATTCATGAAAGTACAGAGTAAGTTATAAACAAATAAAGCCATATAAATAATATAATTGAAAATATTTGTTTTCAGAAATGTAATCAATCTTTGAATAATTCTGTGTAGACATAATTTTTTATTTTATTTGAATACATTTGCTGTCCAAAATAGATTTTTATAGAGTTCCAAGATCTAACACGCGAGAATGCTACGTACAATTGCCCGTGACTAAAAACATCCTTTCGTAAATCAATGACAACTTTTTTGAACGTTTGCCCTTGAGCTTTGTTAATAGTCATAGCAAATGCTAATTTAACTGGAAACTGTCTTCTTTTAAAGGCGAATGGATATTCGTTTTCGCAGTATAAAGTGATTCTGTTCAAGAAAACTACTTGGCCCTTTTTATCACCTGTTAAAATTTTACATTTCAATAAATGATTCGATAAATCTATTAATTGCAACCTTGTACCATTGCATAGACCTTCATTAATGCTGATATTTCTTATCAACATTACGATACAATTTTTTTTCAAATGTAATTTGTAAGGTGGTAAACATGGTGGGTTTAAAGCATTTAAATGTTCAGGCATAATAACATCATCGAAATCTCTATTATTATTGTTTATAACAGTATCAATAGCAGTATATATATGCTGATCTACGTCATCTAATAAATCCGTTATTTCTCTATTAATATTATCTACGTCTTCATTTCTAGCAGATAAAATTGCACAATCACTCATTTCATCAAATTTTTTGTCTCGAATTAGTTGACCAAAAATATCTATTATGGTTACTGTTTCGGGAGTATACAATGATCAGGAACATCTATGTAATCATCTTTATCATTCAGTGAACCATTTCCTACATTCAACAAAAAATTAGAAAATTCAATTTCATTTGATAAAACTCATATTAGTTGTTAATATATATTTTGTGAAATGTTTCCATAATGGGCTGTATTTTATAGAAAGATTTAATGTTTCATTTCTTGTTCCTCTCACTTTGATTGGTAATAATTGTTTGAAGTCCCCACCTAGAATCATGATTTTTCCCCCAAACGGTAAATTATTTCCCATAACGTCTTGCAAAACTTTATTTGCAATATCTAATGCATATCTGGGAGTCATTGGAGCTTCATCCCAAATGAAAACTGCCGTTTTCCTAAGCTTTTTAGCTTCTTTAGATTGAGCTTTGATATTAGACGTTGAATCATTAAACATTGGAACTGGCAAACCAAAAATCTTATGCACTGTTTTTCCGTTAGGGAGTAGAGTTGCAGCAATACCAGTATAAGCCATTGTACATACTTCTATATTTTTAGATGTTAGTAAATCATACATTGTTTCATACACATACGTTTTCCCTGATCCTCCCGGTCCCTCCATGAAAATACAACGGGGTCCACTATAATTTTCATCATGTACAGCATTGCTAACTAAATCAACTATTTCTTTCTGCAAAGGGTTTAGGTTATTATACTTTACATTCCCCCTATCAGCCATTTCTATTAATGAGAAATGTTCTCGAACGTGAACTGAGTTTCGCAATAGTGGTGGCATTGAAGGAAAATCTTCTAAACTTCTACCTTCATCGTTTAATATTCTATTAATATCTGCATACGCCATTTGATAAGCTAAATCTTTCTCCCGTGTTCTAGAAAAATCTTCTGACAATGCGTCTTGAAAAGTCATCCATAATTCTTCTGGTTTAGTCGGCTGACAATGTATTAAAATCCGAACGAACAAGCAACGAAGTCTTTGCGGCATCATCCACTGCACTCCTTCATTCATTGTTCTATTCCATTCATCATCGTTTTCAATTAAACCTAAAGCTAAGCAAGCTGCACTGAAAGTTGGATGTATGGCGTTATCAACTGTTCTTAAATGCTCAAAACTTTCCGCACCTTTAACATGCAATAGCAATAATCTTAAATGAAATAATTCTAATTGAGCTGGATTGACAGAATACATTCTACCGATTGTATTGAAATGTTTTTTTCTAAGCTGCCACTCTGTAACAGTGACATCATTTATTTTAGTTTTCTTATGTGTAAAATGAGATGGAATTTCACTGTAATAATACTGTCTCGCTGATTCATCATCTCTATTTAATTGAAAGAAATCTAATAGCAAACTACTGGTTTTTTGTAATATTTTTAAATTTAATTTGTAACGGTCCTATTTATGAGCTGTTATTAAATCACTGCAACTAGTCTAACGTATTAATCTGTTTAGTCAAAACAATACATTAAGCGACCTCACTGTTTACGCGACTGTATACAAATAAGAGTCGAGTCAAAACAAATAGCGTGACGTCACAAATAATAGACATAGATATAATGAATCATAATATTGAGAAAAATATGTTAATTATAGATAATTTGAATATAACAAAGTATCAATTATATAGATTTTAACATACAGATTCACAATATCTTATTCAATCATAAATTTATAACGAATATCGATATGTAAAGTTAATTTATTTATTAACATATGAAATATTAGAAAAATATAAATAATTTATATGTAAAATGAATAAGTATAGAACATGAGTAAGAATTGGTTTCATTAATAACAGCTAAATAACAACTGTTATTAATAAATAAACAACTAATAATTTATTTAAACAATAAGCGATATATAGAACGAAAATATTAAGTTAATACTTGATAATGACAATTTTATGATTTAGAAATCTTATATAATTAACCTAATAATCGCATATTAAAATTAAAAGAAAACCGTTACAAATATGAAAAATTAGTCATAATTCAAATGTTATTAATTAATTTAAATAATTAATTTTGGAAAATACTTCCAAAATTAATTAACTATAAAGTTATATGAAATTTTAATAATTTTCTATTGTAAATAATGTAATATCACGTTAATTAACTTTATTAGTTAATAACTTTTGACGACACTATTGGCGATAATTATATATTGTATAAAATCAACAAATAAGTAGTTCTGTAAAATTTACATGTGTAAAAAACTTAATATTAATGGTTATTTACTTGTAAATGAAGAAAAATCATTTCTCAAAATTCGCGAATGTCTCTCGAATTTTCGATGAAATCTCTCCTGCAATAATAAGCGGGAAAATCTGTGTATAAATAGGCCCACCTTTGCACAGGCTAGATTCATTCACTTCTAGCCTTGCAAAGTGAGCGCATGAGTTTGAATAAACTTGGATCAACACCTAAGTTCTTTCTCTCATTGTGATTTACTAAGCAAGATTAACCTTTCCTTATAATTTGAGCTCGACTTATAGAACATCTCGCGCTATAAGAAACTTGGGCCGAATTATATCCTATCCAAGAAAGACTTTAGCTCTGCTTATGGGACAACTCGCACCATAAGAAACTAGGGCATTGTCTGACTTTCCTCGATATTTTACAATTACTTATATATATTTGAGTTACTTATTTATTATATTTATTTCATTTATTTATATTCTTGAAATTAGAGTAAAATCAACGGAAACAAATTCTTACTCATTAGCTAAACTACGAGAGTTCAAATTATTTTTATTTATAAGTGATACGAACATCACAAATTCATAAACTGATTCAGAAAAATATATATTTTGTTCATTTGGTAAATGTACAGGTAATCTCATAATGGAATGACTTTTATCTTGTAAAGTTTTGCTAAGCATGCGCCAACACGCTTCAACAGGTCCAACGTAGCGTGCATCAAGAAATTGACAGATTTCATTATGTATGACCACAGTTCCATTTTCAGAATTTTGAATTACAACTGTTGCTGCATCATGGCCTTTATAAATGTATTTATATAAGTATTTTACAGCGCAAATGCTTGATACAGCTTCAACGTTAATATGACAATCAAATAATTCTAATAATATTGCACAATAAGGTACCACCCAACGATTATCTACTTCGTGATTATTTGTTTTATTGACAGTAACGCCATCATTTCGTCTTCGATAGTGTGGATAACCATTTTCATCCAAGGTTATTTCGTTTTGAAATTGCTTTGGAAAATTTTTTGAGCATTTTCCATCCTTCATGCACCAGTCTCCACAGGGCCCATGTGTCATGTGATTTATCACAAGGTCTTGCAGGTGTGGGTTTTCGGATTTATTAGGAATTTCTGCGGATATAAATTTGTCTATAATTTCTGCAGTAGTCCATTTATGTCCTCTTGCTAGAGTTATTAGTAAATGCATGTGCGGTAAGCCTCTTTTTTGAAATTCAATAACGTATACATGAGCTGCTACTTCTCCAAATAATTTTTTCTTTATGACTAAGTCAAGCAAACGTTTTTTTTTCAAATTAAATAAACGTGCAACAAGATCAGGCCTGTCACATGCTTGTTGACCAGGTAAAAGGTTTTCTTGTATTTCAACCCAATTGGGATTACACGTCATAGTTAGAAAAATATCAGGTTTTCCTTTTTCATTTACTAAGGCCATTGCGTCTTGATAACATTATTGCATATATCGTGGTGATCCTATGAAAGTCGATGGAAGAATGACAGATTTACCAACTTGACCATTTACAGTATCAGCAGAGTTTTGCATGTAATTACTGACACCTTTATATGTATCTGCTCGCAATTCTTTTTGGTGATCTTTACAGTACTGAATTCGGTCTTTTTCAATTTTTACATAACTATCAACAGACCATTGTTGAAATAATCGTCGACCCAAAATAAATGGGTTAAATTCATTGGCCGTTATTGTCATTCTATATTTGTGATATGCCATGCGAGTTACACGTCTGTTGCTATTATCTTTTTGTTGTAAATTTCTAAACCATCCTGATGAACCATACGGATAAAATAATGGATATATCCACGGCTCAACATTGGGATCCATCATACTTACGCATTGTAATGATTTCGTATTTTTATTTCTAATAGTTACATATGATTCTGGGATTTCGCCATCAGCTGTCGTAGCAAATATCGCAGCTACTTCATTAACTCTCTGAAAATTATACCTTCCCTTATCTTGCCCTGGTTTCAAAGAAAAAAGTAATTGTAATTCTGGTTGAGACTGGTTAGTTTCGTTAAATAATGCTTGCTGATATTCAATTTATTGTCTCATCATATGATAAGATTGCGCGAAAGCATTATTTTCTCGAATTATTCTATCTAAAGTAAAGTTAAGATCTTGATCCAAATTTGAAAATGTGTTCATTCGATAATTGACAGCCTCCTCTTGATCAACAATGAAAAGCTGACCATAAGATGGATTTTCATCATCACACGGATACAATGATGTATTGATTTGATAATAAACTTGTCCTTGAACTTTAAATAGATATGGACCTGGTCGACGTGATTGAAAATTAACCAAGTTAGCATTAAAAGACGCAAAAGATAATGAATTATTATATGCTCTGATATGTTCAAAAAATAGAACAGATTTGCGGTGTTCTCCTTTTAGTAATAACTGAAGTTCTTCAGGAAATTCTAATAATGGATCTAAAGAAACTGATCCATGACCACAACAGTCATTGAACGACAATCCTTTACCCTTTACTTTCTCATCTTTGAAATGTGTTGGACTACTGGGATAAATTGAAAACAACAATCACCTTTTATTAAATATGAATATATATATAAGTGAGACTATGCAAATGCTTTGCTCTAAAGATATGCAAACTCTATTAATTATAAATTAAGTCACAAATAAAAGATAATACAAAACGAACAAGAAGAAAGTAGCAGAGCTCCGAGTCGACGAAGGGATATAGCTGTAATGCAGAGCACGTTAGATGAGCAGTGCTGCACAGTGAAGATGGCGTGGTAGGCTCCCGCGCACATGCGCACAGTATTCCGAACACTCCCTCCAGTGTACGCATATGCGCGTGAGCACAAGCAGCTCACTTAGGTCCGTTGGTTTCCGCGTCTGCAAATAATCAAAGACATTCTCGAGCATAGTCAGTTATTAATTATATTATCTCTAATAGCTCTAAAAGAATCGAAAGGAAGAGGTTTTGTAAATATATCTGCTAAATTTTCTTTAGATGGTACCCAAACCAATTTAACCTTTCCTTCAGTTACACACTGTTTAATGTAGTCACCATGTACTTTGGACAATTTAATTTTAGTTCCTGTTTTCTCTCTATTCTCTAGATTAACAATTATTTCCTTAACCGAATCATCAAAATTCTTTAATTTATGATTTCCTTCCTTTTGTGTGCAGCTAATTGAGGACTTATTATTGCATCTTATAATTATAGGGTACATAGTTTTTCCTAACATGTCTCTAAGCGCCTTATCTAATGAGATCATTTCTTGACATGCTTCGCTCATTGCGTAATATTCAGCATGACATGTCGAGAGATTGATTACACTTTGTTTGTGGCTTCTCCACATAACGGAGTCTCCGAATAGTCGTGCAACCATTCCACTTGTTGAAGATGAATCAGCATTGTCTTTAAAACTTGCATCTGTAAATACTTCTAAGTTTTCAGTGACTCCTCTATATATTAGTCCTAGATCAGAACTTCCTCTAAGATATCGCATGATCCTCTTTACATCGATCCAATCCTCTATGGTGGGGTTTGATTGTTTTCTAGCTAGTAAATTTACAGCAAAAGCAATGTCAGGTCTTGTGACATTTACAAGATACATCAAGCTGCCTATTGCTTCCCTATAAGGAAATTCTGGTTTTTCCAGTTGTTCCGTTTTCTCCATATTTTTATTGTTTCTAGCTTTGACTTGTCTAGTTATCATCGGTGTGTTTTATGGTTTGCTTTCATTCATATTGAATCTCTCTAATACCTTTTTCGTATATTTGCTTTGACTTAACATTATTTGTTTAGCTTCTCTGTCTCTAGTGATTTGAATACTTAAGTATTCTTTGGGTTCTCCTAATTCTTTCATTTTAAATACAGAGCTTGAGTGTCTCTTAACTTCATTAATCTTGTTAGAATTATTCCCTGCTAAAAGTGTATCATCTACATATAAAATAAGTAATATCATTACGCCATTCTTTCTGTATGTAAATAAACAAGGTTCATTTATATCTCTCTGTAAACCTAATTTTTCTACCTCAGTTGAGAACCTTTGATTCCATTTCTTAGGACTTATTTTCAAGCCGTATATAGCTTTATGTAATTTACAAACTCTATTTTCTTTCGTGTGTTTATCTAACATTACTCCATCTGGTATTTCCATGTATATTTCTTCCTCTAGTTTGCCATTTAAGAATGCAGTTTTCACATCCAGTTGACATACTTCCAGATCTAATTTATTTATTATAGCGAATGCAGCTCTGATTATAGACAGCCTAGATACAGGTGCATACGTTTCTCTTAGTTCGTATTCATTGGTGTCTTTAAATCCTCTAACTACTAGCCTAGCTTTAAATGTTGTTTTTCCTTCTGAATCAATTTTTCTTTTAAGTACCCATCTACTGTCTATTATGTTGGCTCTATTGCCTTTCTGATTCATCGAAGGTCTCTCTACTATACTCCATACATTATTTTCGCGCATGGATTCTAACTCGTCGTTTATTGCTTTAGTCCAGTTCATTTTATCTTTAGTCTCCATAGCTTCTTTATAATTGGTTGGGTCAGAGTTTAGCGTAGCCATCAAACAATAACATTTTTCATCTTCTCCCAATACTTCGGTTTCATTATATTGAGTTATAAAGGCAAAACTGTTATCTACTAGATTAGCCTTTCCTTCTGACATGGCTTTGTAGTCTCTTTTTATCTTGCTGCTTCGTTTAGGCTGCACTCTATTATGTTTTTCTGATATGTGATCAATTATTCTTTTTCTCTTGTTGGTTTTATTTGTCTCTAATTGTTTTCCTATGGATTCTGTGTCGTTTAATTGTTTTATTCTTTCCGAGTTACCGGAATTGAATATATCCATGGTCTCCTCAGGTGTTTCTTTATCATTGTCATTTGGAATAGAGTTTGAATCTTTATTACATTCTCTAGTAATTTCTTCATGTTTATCAATATTTTTATAAGTTAGTTTTTCCCGGAATTTCACATGTTTAGTAAGAATTAATTTTCCGGACTGAGGATGCCATAGTATATATCCATTACTGGTTTGTCCTACTAAGATTCCTTTTATAGCTTTTTCGGATAATTTGTTTTCAGATAATGGTTTCTTTGCATAAGCTATACATCCAAAACGCCTGATCTTTTCTAAATGATTTTTCTTATTAGGGGATATCTTATTCAAAGGAGTTTTGAATTCTATAGACGAATTTGGAGTTCTATTATATACATCTACAGCTACTTCCAGGGCTAAGTTCCATAAAGATTTTGGTAGTCCTGAATCTATCATTAAGGATCTTAATTTTTCTAATATAGTTCTGTTGAATCTTTCAGCAGTACCATTATGGGGAGGTGTATATGGATTCGAAAAATTTGACTCTAAATTTTCCTTTTTCATGACTTCTAGAAATTCTCCTCCTGTAAATTCCCTAGCGTTATCTGCTCTTATATAGCAAGCTCTCAAATTCTTACCTGTCAAATTCCTCATGGTATTTAAATAGTTTTCTAAGCATTCTCCTGCTTCAGATTTGTTTGTTATTGCATACGTTTTGGCAAATTTCGAAAAATCGTCTATGAAAGCTATTATATATTTCTTTCGACCAGGATAAGTAATTGTTTTAAATGGACCTATTATATCGGTGTGAGTTAGTTGAAGTGGATGATCGGCTCTAGTTCTTATTTCTTTAAAAGGTTGTTTACTCATTTTGGACATTGTGCATACTTCACAGTTTTTAATATTTTCATTAAATTTTACATTGCTAAGTTCTTTATTTATCTTTTGCAATTTTAATAGGTAATCATATGATGGGTGTCCTAGTCTTACATGCCACAACATCCCTTCATCTAACTCCTCTGAATATCTTTTCTCGAGTTCGAAAGACGTGAATAGATCATCCATTGGTTTTTCGTTCTTAAGGTCATCTAGCGAATAATTTTCGAAGTCTCTGTATTGGCTAAGTTTAGGTATAGATTCATTCGTAACTAACTCCCTCCCAACTTCTGAATCTATGTCTTTATTGTTTTCTGTTTCTACATTTTGTGGGTCTTTTGAAATATTTTCTAGCGTTATTAATCGTGCTCTACAATAATATTTATTGTATGTTTGCCTATCCGAGTTCTCTGTTTTATTCTTTACTTCTAATTGTATAAGCCAGTTTGGTTTCTTATAGTACCCGGTTAGAAAAGTAGATCCATCATTTTTATTGAATATTTTTAAATTTTTGTCATCTAGATATATACCAAATCCAGTATCGACAAATTTCCTAAGGGACATTAGATTTTCGGATATATCAGGGGCTGCTATAACATTGGATAGTCTAATGGTATGACCTTCATTGTTTAAGCTCTTTAGGTATAAGTCTCCTTTTCCGTCTATCTCGATATCAGCCGATTTGTTTTTATTCACACTTTTAATATAAGTTCCTGAACTTTTCTTAAAGTTTTGCAA